AACGTCATCAATGTTCCAATTAACTTTTCTAAAAATGAAACAACCAAAAATAATAAATCGAATATCTGTGTATTTAGTAATAAGATAACGTGATAAGAATTTTAAATCTTAATGCAAAAAATCACGTTCTATAAAAAGTGAAGGATCTGAAAATGATAGGGAATGAACAAATTCTTTAACTTAAATAAATTAACTCATACTTATTCATAGGATACTGTATTGCAGTATGCATGTCATATTATCATCGTCATTGTATTTTAGTGAAAATAAACGTTCATATATAGGACGTGTCTATTATTGGTTAATGATTATATAAATAGTTATATAGCTATTAGGTACGTGTTTAAAATTTCATAGAAATGATAATAGTTAATAAAATTGTTCAAATATTTGTGTAGCTATAAGTCAAAGTCTAAAATTAATATTAATTAGTGAGACTTCCCGTGCAAGCTATGCTTATACCATGATATACTTCAATATATTACAATATTATACATTTTTATTTTTTATACGTGTATACAGACAAGAGTCAAGTCATGAAATATTATATATTTCGATATTGCCGTATCAGTGTACACTTGTCCTTGAGGTTTGATGAGAATCGTTCTGGCAAAATCATTTTACTTTACTCACAAAGAAGATATACTTATATAGTCATTTAAATATATATATATATATATATTCAATTATTCAGTTAAAACGTAAAATTCGACTTATTGTAATAATTAATATTGTTCTTGGTTTTTAAAAGGTAGAATTTTATCGAAGAAATCAGAAAGGATTTATTGTATATTGTTAATTTAAAAACAGAAGCCTTAACTATATAATTAAACCACTCCTATCATAGACAGCTGTTTATTAATTAAAAATACGTAGGTTTATCGAGTGAATATAATATAATAATTATAATATAGTTATTATACAATAGGTTTATGTTATTTATTAACATTGTATTGAATTTTGACTTTACGATGTGTTTCGGCGCCGGGTGCCTTTATAATATTATATATTGTATATTCAATATTGTACGATGTTTATGTTTAAACCTATATTCACGACCTACACTTCTGCCTTCCTATACCGCGCGTCACGTATATCTGCACTTCGTATGTATGTGATGTATTATATTATAATTTATAGTGAACGTCATTGTGTATTTAGGAAAACATAAAGTCCATATACTACACAGCGTGTGTGTGTATTGCATATTATGGTGCGCGATAATAATTAATATTCGATAAAAAAAAAAAGTGTGTGCGAATACGGTATATATATATATATATATATATATATATATATATATATATAATATAGACAGAACGGTGGCGTTGGATGTCGAACAGACGAGGACCTAGGTGGTATAAAAGTTTGTCGTAGGTATGAAGTGAGAGAGGGATATGAAGGGAAACGAGGGCTGCTGACCTGACCATTGAAGTGGCTGACGTTTGAGTTTGAAATATTATATACATTGACGGCGATAATGATTATGCAGAATAATAAGCCGTACATATTGGTTACAATATATATATATATATATATAGGTATCTACTGGCTACTGTAAACTCAATAAAAATTATAAAATAATCATAGGTGGCTAGATATATCCTGACATATTTTGAGAACTGGAGATTCTTATCTTATTTAATACACATTCAAAATATTATTCTATAGTAAAAAATTGATAGTTGGATTAAATGAATTCCTTATTATAGTAATAATCACATCTTTCTTAAGACTGAAATATATATATTCAATATAATTGTATACGTATTTGTCAAGTTGCATAGGTTTATTAGATTGTACATACGCTGCAGAGGGAGGTAAATTTATTGATTTTAAAATTATATGTTATTATTATTATTTGTTTTTTTGTACAGCTAGAACTAAAAAAAAAAAAAATCACATTTATTGATTAAAAATAAAACACAAATTGCAAACGAAACAAAAACATTTTTTGTATTTCCCAGTATAGCTTTCAAGGAAATCATAAAGGAAAAGAGCAGAGAAATATGAAGCATCCATTTTTTATGAATCTTGTCTTTTTTTTAGTAAGTCAATATCTCTTGAAAATTGTTATTCAGACTCAATAATTTATTTAATAAGACCTAAATAAATAATACCCGACCCGGTGGTCCATCCACTCAGTTAATACAACACTTTTTAAATGGTTGTATTATTTGTCCAATTGTTCTTGATCACTTGTCTCATTTTAAGAATAATATATATGATTAACGTAACAATTAGACCAATTGGTATATTGTTTATGAGTTAATAGTATTTCTAAGATTCAAGATTATTCTGTATCTATGATTTTATAGCTTTCGTAGTCTCGCATATGTTCTATGCTTCTGTATCTACGTGTAACATAAGGATTCGATAAAAAAACGTCGGAAAACATTAGAATAATTACACTGACTGCCGACTGGTTATTTAATAATTTAGTTTGTATATGCATTATACATACATTAATTTTCAACATAATAACCGCTGTCCGCTTGTCACAAAAAATGAAACGATAAAGCACGATCATGAGATAAATTGACATAATGTAGTGATGGAGTTTATCAATCTATAATTAATATTATTCTGAGAATAACATACACGATACACAACAAAAAAGTGTGTTACAAAAAAAAAAAAAAAATACACACTTAGTATTTAAATTATTATAAAAATCATATTATACTGTGAATTCAATATAAGCAGTAATTTATTTTTTAAATTACTTTTTAGGTAAGTATTCAGTACTCATCTATGAAGAGTAGCTTACAAATATTACCTATGCATGTCAAGAACAAATGCTGAATAAATCATATTATATATAATTAGATACCGTAAAACAAAATATGATAAAAAAAAATAATAATTCGAAGGATTTTTACTTATTAAAATGGTATAATGAATAAAAATATGTTTAATTATTTAAAATAAAGAATCATAAATAACAATTACATACCTACCTATAAAAAAAAAAACTAATATTTCCAGTAAAACGTGAATGTAGTATGCTTTACTGTATATTTATGTGGCTTAGTGTGATCTGTGTATACTTTATAATGATGAAAAGATTTACAATAATTAAACGGCAGATATTTTTAATAAGGATGTAAAAAGTGTGATACTATCATGACTGTATGTGTTCGGGAATTCTGGTTAATAAATATCTAACAATACAAAATATTATACTTCTGTATATAAGATATACCTAACATATATATTATATATGTATTTTTAAACAATTTTTAATTAAATAATATACATATTAATAATTAGATAAATATCTAATATCTAATTCGTATTTCATTTATCAATAGACAATTTGATATGTACTCAAATAATTTATTATTATATTATTTTAGTATTAAGGTACCTATAATAACCCAATACTAACTATACTCAAATAATAAACAGGTGTAATGGCATATGCTATTATTATACGTTTATATTATATTATTATATATATGTCCGTGTGTATTAAAAATGTATGTATACAATAAATATAGGTTCATAGCACATACATTTGTAATCACCCATTAGCCATAATGTATTGTAGGTAAGTTATTCGCCGTCGTGATCGTCCCCAAAATAAATGCTGAATAAGTATACTAGATCGACACTATATTGCGGCTCCGCGCGTTCATCATTCTGTATATACACTTTATTGAGTGATTCATAATAAAAGGTAAAAACCCATTTTATTAAAAAGAATAATAATTGTTTTTTAAAATAATTGTATTGACATCATTCGATATTACTAAAAAATACACAAAATATTTTTGAAAAAAAAAACGATATTTACAATTTTTTTCAATGACAGAATAGTAGATTTTTAATTTAATGTTCTGAAGTGGAATGTTTTTCTGATAAAAATCGAAATAAGGATTATTTTTTATAAGTATAGTTAGTATAGATTAATGGAATACCAATAATAAACCAACATTTTTCAGGGTATCTACACTTATGTGAATTATGTCATACCACTCTATTAATTTAAACTTTATACTTTAATAAATTAGTTCTAATTAAATATATTCGCTTGAAATAACATTTTATCTATTGAAATTTTCAGCAAAATACTTCACTAAAAAAAAAAAAAAAAAAAACGAATTAAGTCATTAAAAAAATAAAAAATGTTTGTAATGACTTCCAAATATATGAAACTATTTTTAAAAATGTAAATACTTTTCAAGATAACAAGTGTTTACTTAAAAATAATCACTCTGTATAACATAATACTATGCACGTGTGTAAATGTATAAATTATATATATATATACACATAGCCCATGCCTCATAGGTATATAATGTCGTTGTACATACCAACATACAGGGTGTTCATTGGCCATTGCTCGTCGTCCCATCGGCGGTCATCCATAGCCTCGTTTAATATATACACCAATATTACTATTCACATCCTCAGTAACATTAAACTGCTGCTATGAAGTCGTGTATATGCAACGGTTATGATGTTAATTACAAGCGTATAATTGATCCTACAATGTTCGACGGAATATTAAAACATTTAAGGCATTGTGGTGTAGAACTTAGAGTTTACGTCTTATACATAAGCAACCCGAAACGGTCGATCCTTGTGATGATTTGGTATTACGATACTCTTTCAAGTTCGGATGACCATAGGTGGATCATAATATACGAGGTTGGGTTAGGGTTAAGTACCTATGCGCGTTATGGGCGAATAGTGATATCTAATATATCAGTTAGGCGTATCTCATTATTATTGCTATAAAATCTGTTGACGAAGAGCGTTCGCATAGACCACCATAGACCACTCGTAGACAAAACGATCACTCTGTACGTATTTTACTCTGCCGCCAGCTTTTCGGTGTGACTGCGCGAACGGATCGCTCGCGCGCCCGCAGCGGCGTCGGTGCGCGCGCGATTTGAACGCGATCGCGCGGCGGTGGGCGGTCGCGCGGGGGGAAGCAGCGCGCTATAAGAGGGAAAAATAAGAAATTAAAAAGAAGCGACACGCGTACCGTATCATTTTCCAATTGGCGCTCGTACACCGCGGCCGTGCCGTCGATCCGACAACAGTCGCAGCAGCAGCAGCCGCCGCCGCCGCAGCAGCAGCCGCCGCCGCCGCCGCCGACGACGACGCATTCATCGTAATGATATTTTATTTATTATTATTTTACTGTTATTTATTATTATTATTATTATTACTTTTTTTTATTATTATCACTGCCGGTTTTTTTCGTCCGTTTCCCACTTTTGCAGTTGGCCGCCGCGAAATCAAAAATATTATATCATAGCCTTTTACCACGCACTCGCCTGATAAGCATAATAATATATAATATTGTTTTTATTTTATTATTACCGATCAATTGATTTAATAACACCTATAGCCGCGTAGTCATTTAAATTAGGTACGCGTTAAATATGTGCCTACAATATATTTTTTTATTTAATTTTTAGTGACATGTTCGGCGTTATTAAAATGCGATATAGTTTATTATACCTACTTGTAACAATTTATTATTCGCGGCGCGTTATACATACTAGGTTCTACTGGTACCAGATTATGTACCTAATATATACACATCGTTGTTTCATTCGCTATCGTCCGAATAGTATAATAATTATTTCCACACGCATTATTTTTAAGATAAAAAAAAAATATCTTTGTCTCACAATTTATGATAGTTATTATAACAGACAACAGCTAGATAATTTATTATATCATAATATTATAGATTATAGATGTCTACATAATACCACACGCGCCGTTAAAACTACTTATGCATATATCGTAATAATATACACGTATATTATTTGTTATTTTTGTACGTTGTACCTTATACATTGTATACCTATACGCTAAACATGTTATTAATTTGAATACGGACGCATTTAATAATTATTGTATTATATAAATATATCATGATATAGATCGGGCCTCGCACGGCAGTTGGGTTATTATAAATTCACCGCTGATCTTGGCGCATATCTACCTCTTAGTACATGCTAAATATTAATATATTAATTTTATATCATTATACTAAATGGTACCTGTACATGACATGTTTATGTAATAGTATTTAATTACATTATCATTTGACATTTGCAAGCGCGGCGCCAAAACATTTGATTTTTTTGATTTATTTTTCCGGCTTTCTGCCTGTTCGCGCGTGCAGTCGACGGTCGCCAGTATTACCACACGCCGTCGTCACAACCACTTCTACGCCACGGCCGGTACAACTGTTGTTACCATAATATTGCCGCAGACTACTGATACAGTCACCGCTGATAACTCGTGGTTTTCACACGACGGCGATAATAGTAAAATACAATAAACAGTCGTCGACCGGTTCGGCTAAGTTTCTGTTTTTTTTTTTTTTTTTTTTTTTTTTTTAGTTTATGTTTAAATTTTATTTTTTCGCGCTCTTCTATTTCTTTTCTTTCTTCCCGTAGCCGTTGAGCTGAAATAAATTTTTCTGCCTACTCACCAACGGCATCGGCGCCGACAGCTTATAATTTGAAATAAATAGGTACTAAATTCATTGTAATTATAATAAACGCATTTTTCGACATGCAAACGTCGTTCACGTCCACGCCGTCCGCTCAATTTAGTTCCTACAACAATGTTTTCCGTTTCTTGTAGTCGGCTCCCGAACGTTTCTCATTAAAGTCGAAAAGCATTTGACTTTACGCGTCTTCACTGGAGCGTATTCAAATATTGCACACGCATCATCAACAAGAGGAATCATCCGTCCATCGCCATGTCGTCTCCGACCAACTCCGTCCCATATGGAGTACAGATTCTGCAAAAAATTTCCGATAAGTGTCCCAGACTCAGCCGGATCATCGACCGTGAAAATCTGTGAGTATATTAAAAGTATTCTATTACAGATATTCCCGATAACTATTAGGGATAAGTCAATATTTATGACTACATTCCTTTTTTAATAATGTTTATTTAGATTTCCTAAGACCATTGGCCATTACTGAATTAAAAAGCCTTTTTTTTCTGTGTTTTGTTATAATGACAATTAATAATTTTGTATAGGTACTTTTTTTACTTATTATTTGAAAATTTTTATGAGATAGATTAAAATTGCTACCTTACACTTTAAAACAGTTACAAAATATTTATTATTTAGGTAGTTAAATTTTTTTGTTCGATACAGATATAATTTGAATTTGCCTTATAAGATCAAATTTATTTTTAAGTTGGTAGTTAAGTGCATCTGATTCTGCATTAAGAGGTAAAATTTCAGGTAATTTTTTTTTATCTTGTTTGGCTTCCATAGGTTTAAAATAAAATAAAACTATTTCAACACTTAAAACTTATTACAAGTATATTAGCCATGCCTCGTTGAATAATTTGATTTTGATCATTTTCTTTTTATTTAAAAAAGAAAATCTTTTTTCTAAGGAATTTGATTTCTGAATCAATTTTATATAATGATAGAAAAACATATTTCAAAGTACTTAAAAAATTGTGATTACCTATTTAAATACTTATTAAAACTTTTGAATATCTTTAAAATCCGAGTCTTATGTGACTTGTATAAAGTCTCAAGTTTTTGTAATAAAAAACACATTTTCTATAAGACCCATTTAACAGATTTAATTGTATCTGTATTAAAATAATACAGTTATAGTATAATGAAAAGTAAATTATATAAGTATATTAAGTAGTACTTTCTTTTGATTTAGAATTAAGTTTAAGCATTTGGAATACCTATAATATTTTTTAATTATTTGTGTGCTTAAATAAAATAAAACTGTACAGGTATCTTTTGTTAATTATATTAAAGTAGATACCTACATTATTTATTTATAAAAAATAAACAAATTATTATTTATTGGCATAAAATATTTGTATCCAACAACTCTATCATCAACTGATAATTACTCATTATATCTAACCTTGTAGATCATTAATTATACTGGAATGATCCAACATTAACTTAATAAATGTTTTATTTTATCTATTAAAGTTTTATGAGATCGATTCAATAAAAAAAAAAAAAATTATCAATATAATTGTACCTAATTAATTTATTAAAACATGTTTTTATTATTTATACAGGTAAACATTTAAGATATACAATTGGTCAAATAATTGTTTTAAAATCAATTAAGTTGAAAAATATATTTAGTAGTCTAGGTATTCTATAAAATATTATGATAGGCTATTATTTTTTTAATTATATAACTATTAACTATTAGTTTAGTAGATTAAACCCTATATATCCATATCTAATACAAATAATTACATGTAATAAATCCATTATAAAAAAATGCTATTCATTTAAATATTAAAATTTTAAAATCTCTAATATAGATGTTTTTTGGTATAAATATTGGTCATACATGTAGAATAATTCGTAGTATAAAGATTAGGATTATGACCTCTAAAATTGTCAAACTTACTATTGAAATTAAATAACATATCATATTTCTTACATAAAAATAAATTTCTGATTTTTTCTTTCATATTAATTTGAGTATTAATTATTATTTGGATTAAAAACTTTGCTTTTAACCAAACATAAATATTTTTTAACACAAATTATTCTTATTGATTTAATAATTTTTAGCAGATGATATTTAATAGGAAAATTCATGCATAATATTTGTGTTAACCAAAAGTTAGTATTAAATCAATTGAGTTTCAGTGAACACATATTTGTGACTTAATTATTATCATGTTAATTTGAAATATATATTACACATTTAAATTAGTTTATTTTTAAATTATAACTGTGTATCAATTATTTTTAAAGTAACTGGAGTATGTTTGTATAATTTAAAAGCAATACTATTACTTTGTGTAATTAGTTCATTTATATCAAGTTCTAGAAGTTTACAGTATTTAACGTTGAGTTAAGCTAATAAAAAAAAAATAATTAATATTATCTACCTATGAATTTATTTTAATAAAATATAAATAGATTTTATAAATAAAATATTTTAAGTAGACTTCATCTTAAATAAAATATAAACTAGCGTAGATAGTTAATGATATTATATTTACTTGAGATTTTGTTTTAAGCTAAGGTAAAAAGTATTTTGTAATTTTTCAGTATTAAACAAAATGTTATTAGTAGTTAATAGTTTTTCTTTTGTGGGTTTTTTAAACTTAAAACATTTGTATTAATTATTTAATGTTGTAGCATACAAATTTCTAAAATGTATCCTGTTGCTATTATTTTAAAATTATGTATTTATTTATTTATCTATCAGTTAATTTTTAATTCTGTTTTCAAAGATACTGTATTCAAACATATTAAAGGATTATTTTTATACTATAATGAATTTCAATATTTGTATAAGTATTTTATAATCCTATTAATTTCTTTGATGATGAAAAATTTAAGTGTTATTGTCAATAAAATAAATTACTTACCGTAATAATCTACCTATATTACAAGTAAATTATTTCTGAATAATGAAATACTAATTAAATATAATTGTGATTCTAATAATGTTTGCAGTTTCTTGATTAAGTATATAACTATCTATACTCTATTCATGTTATTAACTGTATTCAGTGGCAATCAGTTTTCATTAAGCGGTAGGTAATACCTAGTTTTTTATTCATATTGAGTTTACCATTAATTATATACCTATCTGTTTTGTGAGAATGTCATACCCACCTCTTAACTCGAATATTGACTAGAGGAATATAGTTTAAATTTTTTTAAATTTAAATAAGTTAACCTTTATGTTTTAAAAAATATTTATTTTTTTTTATTTAGGTACACTTATTTATGATAATTTTTAATCATTTTATTTTATTTCTACTTATTATTGATAAGTTAATTAAGTATCTTGGTTACAATGTATGTTTAAATTTTTGACAGATTTTTACCTAAATATATTTCCTAAAATAAGTAACAAGTAATGTTATAATTTACTTGTGGCTTTAATATTTTCAGTTTGTAATAAGTGATAGGTAGAGTTAGGATGTTGATGACTTGCATTTTTTTCCTTTAATTATATACAATACTATCCTAACTAAAAATTTGTTTCATGCTCTCTTGATGCAGAATATTCTAATTTTATTTTGCATTTTTTTGTATTTTTAGGCATTTTTAGCTATAAATGCATTTTTTTTGTTTTTTAATGTCATTTTTCAACATTTTCAAGTCATTTTTTTTATCTTTTAGGTTATTTTTTGTAGTTTTTGTACAATGTGGGATATTTTTTTCAAATTTTACATTAGAGCAAGTGTTAAATCCAAGTTTGGAAACAAAGTTAATTTATTTAAAATCTAACATTGGATTTGGATTTATTGTTTGAAACTTTGAATGTTATATATCTTTAATAATCATTATTATTTATAAATACATTTTTTTCACTTAATTAGTTTTTAGATAATTTTTAAGGTAAATTTTTGAAGTTTTTAAGGCATTTTTGTACTTTTTTTGGGACTTTTTGTGTGTTTTTTAGGTCATCAACATCCTAACTCTAGTGATAAGTGATAATTAACAAATATATTAAACAATGTTAAAAGTGAATTGGTTATTTTAGTTTTAAGTGGATTAAATAATACAAATATGAATATTTAGATTTTGTATTATCTAAATTTATTCTACACGCTTCTAGTAAAAAAACAAAATTCAAATTGATATTGTTGTGTTGGGATATTTTTTATAATATTTTATCCATTATACAATTATAAATTATGTTAAACTTATATATTATAAACTATCTTAGTATTATTATCTGTTTTGATTGGTTTTAGCTATAAATATAGTGTTCTTGTTTTGACCTTCATCACATATGCGGCTTATCATGCATCTCGAAAACCTATTAGTGTTGTTAAAATTGTATTGTACCAAAACTGTTCTGAAGTTACCACTCCTGCTCCTATTAACAACACAGATCCTGATTGGTGTAACTGGGCTCCATTTAGTAAGTTATGATAGTTAATTTATATTTATTTGTTCTATATCTGGAATTTAATTATTGAATTATGTTTGATATGAATAAGGCTATGTGTACATATTAATTTTATTCATTTAAATATTTACAGATGCTGAAAATCACAGTGCTTTGTTTGGAACATTGGATTCAGCATTTCTTTTTGCCTATGCGATAGCAATGTTTTTTAGGTATTATTATTATAAAAAATTACTAAATTTTAATTATAAATTAATATAGGTATCAACTATTTTATCAGTTTTACTATACTTTGTTGTAAAATAATATTTTTGTTATACTTTTACAATGATGTTTATATTTAATTACATTTTATTTTTTATTTTTTAGTGGTTTAATTGCGGAACGCGTCAACATACGAATTTTTCTAACAATTGGAATGATTTTATCAGGTACAGCTTGCTCAATGTTTGGATTAGCTCATTTTTACAATATACATTCCATGTGGTATTTTATCGGAGTTCAGGTATTTTACTGAAATTATTGTAGTTTTTAAACATAAATATTTTTATAATAATAGTATATTATGTATTAAACATTTTAGATATTTGGTGGTATTTGTCAAACTACTGGATGGCCGGGTGTTGTAACTGCTATGGGCAATTGGTTTGGCAAAGGAAACCGAGGTTAACTAAAAAATAAACACTAATTGTTATAAATTGTTATTTTTCTCAAATTCATAATTATTTATTTATTTATGGTGTTTTAGGGTTTATATTTGGTATTTGGAATTCTCATACATCTATTGGAAATATCATTGGTACTTTACTTGCCAGTTTGTATGTTGAATCCAACTGGGGATTATCATTTATTGTTCCTGGAATATTTATAATTACTTCTGGAATTCTAAACTATTTGTTTCTTGTGGTCCATCCAACTGATATCAATACTGATACTCATTTGAATGAAAAAGTCCAGAATGGTCACAAGGTAAGATGTTTGTCTTATAATTTCTAGTTTATTCACTTGTACTATATTTATTATGTTATTTGTATCCTTAAAATTTAGATACCCAATACAATTTTAATAATATTATTAAACAATATATTATGATATAAATTAATTTTACAATATGAAGTCTATAGAAAGTTATGTACCATTGAATTCAAAGTGTTTAAAGTGTTTTTTAATCAGTAACGTTTCTTGACTTAAACTATAACAATTATTCTTGTAAAATGTATATACAAGTATACTACTAATTTAATAAATTACGTATAATTTACTAAAGTAGTAATATGATATATTATTTTTTATTGTAATTTGGTCATTAAAAAACATATTAATTTAGGCTTAAGTAGATTTATTATGCTTATATTTGATTTGAAAACAAAAATTTCTGTTTATATTTGTTTATATGTGTTAATAACTAAAAGACAACCTTTTAAATCCCTTAAGTGTGTAAAATGTTCTTTTGCTTTTTAAAATAATAATAAGTGTAAAAATTGGGTATCTCTTAAAATTTTATTTTTATTACTATTTTTTTTTATTATGATAATTTCTTAATTTATTAGTGAAATATTGACCTAAAAGTAAAAAATAGTAAAAAAATGATATAATTTAAGTGAAATGTATGTTTAAAATAATAACTTTAACTCATTCTTCTCATAGTAAAGAAAACATTTATATTTTAGTAATAATTAACTTTAAAATAGTGATACTGAATGAAAATTGTGGAATTAATACTTTTTTGGTCCATTAATTCAAAGGGATATTTTTACTGATAATTTCAACAAAAGACAAATTGTAAGAGATTCTAATAATTTTTTAGTAGTTAAAATAAATAACCTTAGTTTAATATGTTGATTTTGTGAATATGTGTCTATAGTATTATGTCACAACAATAGCACTGGTACTATTTTTAAAATTGCTCAATTTCCTCGTGTAATGTAAATATTATTATAATTGCAATTTTTTTCTTTTTAAAAAAGGAATCGTTTATTATGATAATAATTACAATACACAAACCATATTTAACTTTTTTTTTTTTAAACAATTCTTATAACTCTGTCATTTCTTAATGCTTTATGTGGGCTTTGTTTTTGTCTTATTACAACATGGTTAGGCCTTAGAGAGAAATGGAATACGAAGACAATCTTCTCATCATGACTATAACATACCAGAAGAAAATGAAATATTGAAGGGCAGTTCAGAAGAGGTATGTTAGTGTATTGCTTTAATTTTGGGTTTGTGCTATTAATAAGGTTCCTTCCTGTGTTACATTTTTTTTTCTTATATCATTTAAATGCATGGAGCATTCATTTATAAATCTTTTATACAATGTGTATAAAAGTAATGTTATTAAATACCTAACACTGCTTTAAAAGAACTCATTGTTAACTGTCATTATTTTATTATGTATAATGAATAATTATTAACATTCTTTGTTTTTTATAATGTTTAATAAATTAAAGGCAATATCTTTATACTTTTTAATTAAAGGAAAAAAACCTATTGTTAAATTTAATTTTATATTTAAAAATATTTTATGATTAATATCTGGTTTAGAGTATTATAAATTTTAAACTATAGCAGTTAAGACATTTTTTTTTGTGATCTGTTAAATGTTTTTAATTTTTTTTATAATAATTAGATAAATCTTTGTATAAAATAATTTGTTTATGCTAAGCCTACAATTTTAAAAACATATTTACCACCAAATTGAAAATATATGAATAATACATTTTAATGTATTTAGTTAATTTAAATAATTTAATTTATTTTTGAAATAGAATATCTGTCCTATATTAATTTTAATATTAATAGAAATCTAAAATTTATTTTAAGTTAATATGTAATTTAATGTTAGTTTTTTAGTTTTAACATTAATTTTTCTTTCAATCATTAATATTTTACATATAGCTCAAGAGTTTTAAACTTCATGAATAAGTAATAAATATATTAATTGTAAGGACATTTTTACTTATTCGCATTAATAGTGTAGCTTAAAATGTATGTTATGATAGTTATATTTTAGTCATACTGAATATCTCCCTGGGTATATTTAATTAAATTTGCAGTGTTTTATGTCCGATCTGAAAAAAAAAAAAAATTAAAAACATTAATAACTTAAGCAGTTTACAAAATATATTCTTCATTCTTAAATTTATATTATTGTAAAATTAATTAAGTTAATACATTAATGGTTTATTTAATGACATTTTTAAGTATATATTTTTCTAATTAAATACTGATTTGATGATACCAAATTTTATTTTTATTTTAACTAACTTATTATTTGAATGTTTGTCGCCAATTTGTTCGTGTCGTCGATTCCTATCAACTTATTTTTCAAAGAAAAAGCAAGGTATTGTGATTAATGTTTATGTTGTAATTTTTAGTATTTTTTCTTAGCTTTTTGCTGTATATCCATGCTATTAACACTTTATTTTAAATTTGGCAAGTGTGTTTTTATTAATATATATGTTTTTAAATTATATATTTGTATACAGACAAGGAATTTAAAATGATCAGGTTTTTAAAGTCATTCATCATTTATATTTATTTATTATATTCAATTTTAAATTTTTGTTACACAGTCTGATATTATATTCTGATACAAATTTAAATATATATCATTATTAAGTTCTTCAATAATCTTGAACAGCTATTTTAATTTTTATTAGAATGAAATGATTTCTCTCATATTTTTGATTATGTTAAGAAATATATATCATTGCAATTTGTAGAAAAATATTTCAAAATCTTGATTTTTTTTTTTTTTAAATATTAATAACGTCTTTAATAAATTACTTTCTATATATTATTATTATTATCATTATTATTCAAAACTTTGAACTCAATTTTTGCAAAATACATAGAATGTATTCATATTTTATGTTTAAAAATGTATAGACATCTTAAGAAACCATCAATATTATTATTTTTTTTTTTATAGAGAATTTTCATTAATTGTACAGTCCTTGTATTGGTAGAATATTCGCACATTTAAATTGGACAAGGAAATTACTATTTTATAATTAACAAAAATATTTGAATGCAATAAAATAAAAATCATTATTGATTTTGTTTACTCATATAATTCAATTTTTTTTTTTTAGTATTAAAACATTATTAATAATAATATAAATTTACAAATAAGTATACAAAACTCATTATCAATTTTCTGCTGTTTTCTGTGATATTTAAAATATATTATACAATAACATTTGTAGTTTTTGTTCATTTCAATTAAATGTAATACTATAATTATAGTGGAAATAATAAAAAAAACTAAAATAATAAGTTTATTATCAATCTTAAATTGTGTTACCTTTTTAATCATCTTTAAATAATTTTGGCCCGCTGTAAAAAATGGTTGGAGATCCCACAAATTAAGATAATCAGCACATTAATATTTTATTGTTCATCATTATTTTGGTAATTATGAAGTTAAATATTAAACATCAGTTTAAAAAATTTTAACATGCTATTACATTTGCTATATACACCCTTAATTTTTACAACTAATATTAGTCCCATAAATATTTAATAATCTCTGTTTAATGTACTTATTTTGTTGTAGTTTAAGTATTCTTATGTTTAGACAGTGTACTTAAAGGATAACTTCAGTTTGAAATTTTTGATTATTTCCTCTAAATTTAAGTATATATAAAAAAAGTATTATAAATGTTAATCACTCATTAATTACTTAAGTTCAGATTAAAACAAAGATAATATCTATTAAAATAATTTACAAAAAATGTAAAATAATAATTATTTTGATTTAATGATTTACCTTAGATGTAATAAAAGTAAAATTTATTAAAATTGAATAAGTATTTCATTACACCTTTATAAAATAAAATTTTGTTGACATTAATCTAATCAAATTTGTGCTTAATTGTTATTGTATTTTGCATTGTATTTTTTGTCTATTTTACAGTTTATTTTTTTAGTATGGTTCGTTTTTACAAATTCTCATATCATTTATTTTTAATTATTATGTTGAATGTTGGTTTAATAATTTGGCTTGTGATGTTTTGTGGTGTAATTATTATGTTCATTACATTTTTGTATCATAATAATAGAAATAATATATATATATAATCAATATATGTTTATAGCATATACTTTCAGTAGTATAATTATTAATTTTTGATCTTAAAATATTCATGTTTAACTTTTTTTTTTTTTTAAGTAATTGATAAGATCTTTTATACAATTATATATTATGTGCAAAATATTTATTCTTTTTTTGAAATATTTTCAAAATTTCTTGAATTTAAATATTAAATTGAAGCTTAAACATTCAGTATGCCATAATCGTAGATATTTTTAATATAAAAAAAAAAACAAAAAAACGATGGCCAATGTTTATAGCTTTATTTACTCTGCATTATTGCTTAACAGCATGTATCTGAGTAACATAAATAATATATTAATAATACATATTTATAACATTCTGATGCTTTTGTTATGCTTGTTTTCATTAGAAAAAACCCAGTACTTCCCCACAAGAGGTCTCTATACCTCTTGGCGATATTTCATCTAAGGAGTTGTCATTGTTACCTTCTAACAAGGTAAAGTTCTATTCTTTGCTTTAATAACTATTCAATTTATTTAATTATTTATTTAATTTATGTTTTTTTAAAACATAGTTCTATCTAGTTAATGTTAGTATTATTATAGTACGTTTTCACAAATTTACGAATTGCAGTTTTTATTATCTACATAATTTCCTCTTTATTCTATGGCTAATTTGTGATTTATAAATTTAATCATTTTTAATAAAAATTATTGCTTGTTATTATATTTTAACTATCTTGCAATATTTTTGAGAAAACGTTCTTAATATATATAATTACGTAATAAATTGCTCGTTATGTTTCTGTAATTTATAACTTACTTAATTTATATTATTTTATTATGTAATTTTAAAGTATCAAGTGAGATTGTTTACTAAAATTATTTAATTTAAAACCGCATAGGTATAAGCCTGGTAACTAATAAAAACAATATAACTTCTGTTATTGAATACTGAATAGACATTAGTAATTATATCATTATTGATATATTACTATTAAAATTCTGATTTAAGTAAACAAAGCTTTCTATGATAAACTGATGTTTAAAATTATTCATTTTTTGCCCAGTGATGTCCAATAATGTAAACAGTGTGGTGCCTGTTGCACATTTCTAGACTTCAATTGCTTTCAGATTACCCAAGACGCCTGTAAACTTTTGTAAGTTGTACTATGCAAATTCATTTATCTAAAGAGATTTTTGGTAAATGTTTACACACATTGCACAGTACAATATTGTTGTGGTGGGATTTACTAAATGTAATATTAAATCACTAAAATTTTTAAGTAATATCATGTCATAACGTATATATTGGTACCAAATAACAATTAAAGCTTTTTTAATAATAATTTTTGAAAAAAATTGTATGGCGTAATCATATAAATTGTGCGACAAACAGACAGAAAATTTTTGTATTCTGAATTATTTTTTAATTAGATATGAATAATGTGATTTAATTATATTAAATATAATTTTATTTCATTTCAATATATATATATATATATTATATATGTGTGTTTTTTTCACGGCAGTGGCCAGTTTTTGCTTGATCAATGTATCACTTATTGGGATCACTGAATTAATTTTTATTGTCTTATGATTTTTAACTATTTTTAACCATTTGTAATACAATTTATTGACCTCAATACTTATTATTATGTATTGGTTATTAAAAATAAAAATACCTATTATGAAGAATCTCAAGTTTTCATGTTTTTTTATTTGACCAATAGAATATAAGAACTATATATGTAGTCCATCTTCATTTTTTAAACTAAGTAATTTATATTTGAAAAAAATAAATGAAAACAAATTATTAGTCTTTGAATATGGACTTAATATACTATTATTTAATGTTTAATAAATATATATTATACATGTACATTAATTCTGTTTTACCAAAATTATAATATTTTCAAATGTATTCATGTTGTTAAAATATAGATGTATAATAAATATGGTTATAATTGTATATAATAATTATTTATGGTTGTTAAATTATTTAGTAAATAAGTTAACTATAGTATTAATATTAATTTAAAGTAATTTTAGATTTTAAAACTATACATTATATTGTAATATTAGTTTTTCAGTATAATTCTAGCTTTTAACAGGTGATGGATTCATATTAGCATACCATTCACAAATATTAAATTTATGTAATCTGCTTAACATTTTAGGACGAGGTCAAAGAAAAAACTGAAGGTAGCCCAATTCTTTCCCATCTAAATGGTTCACCAAAAAAAGCTGTTGGTTTTATTGGCGCTATCAAAATTCCTGTATGTATATTTTGGTATTTTTTTTTTTGAAGGATACATTTTTGGTCATAGTTGTTTTTATATTTCAGGGTGTAGTTGAATTCTCGATGTGTTTATTCTTTGCAAAACTAGTCAGTTACACTTTTCTATACTGGTTACCAAATTATATCAAGAATTCTTGTACGTTGTTGCTAATATTAATCTAAATCTATGAATGAACTGTATTGTAATTTTTTTTTTTTTTTTAATAGCCACTTATAGCCCTTCGCAAAGTGCAGATTTGTCTACTTTATTTGATGTTGGTGGTATTTTCGGTGGAATTGCTGCAGGAATATTCAGTGATATGTTTGGAAAAAGTGCATGTACATGTGCAGTCATGTTGTTTTTGGCCATTCCATCTGTAAGTCCCTAATTTATTTTGTTCTTAGATTATCTCGAATAAAATCATTCTGTTTTTCAGTTATATATTTACAATTTGTTGTCTTCGGTCAGTTTGATTGTGAACATTGCTTTATTAGTTATTGCTGGTGGTCTTGTTAATGGACCATATGCTCTGATTACTACTGCGGTGTCTGCTGAGCTAGGAACACACAGCTCTTTAAAAGGAAATGCCAAAGCATTATCTACTGTTACATCTATTATTGATGGCACTGGATCAATAGGTATACACATAAATATTTTTAGTTATTACATATTTTGAAAGTGGGTGTATTTTAATTATTAATTTGTTTTTATTAAAAATTAGGAGCAGCCGTTGGACCTCTTCTGGCTGCTTACATATCCGACCATTTTGGTTGGACAAGTGTTTTTTATATGCTTATGAGTTCCAATGTACTTGCAATATTGGTAAGTTTATTTCATTATTTCAGTTATGTATAATATTTAAAAATATTTTGTTTGCTATAACAGTATATATATATATTATACATGATGTGTAGTGGTTTCTATGAATTAGTACTTTGTGCTTTTTTAAATTTTTTATTTTATCTAATTATTTGAAAAATCATTATTTTTCAGTTGCTTACACGACTAGTCAAGCGAGAACTCCAGAATGTTGGCTAGCTCCAAAATACCCTACAACTGATAAGACTTAAATGAAGAATGAAACATATTAGTTTGTAAAATGTCTTTGCTTTCATGCAATTGGTTAAATGAAAAAATACACAAAAATTAACTTTTTGTATGGTTGTAATGTATATTTTAGCTCCTAAGTAATATTTATTTGTATTAATATTAAGTTCTTCGTTCCATTTTTATCTCTTAGAGATTTTAAAATAGTTTCAATTTTATTATGATTATAACTTTTCTTTTTTTTACACTAGTGTATTTTTTTTTTTTTTTTTTTTGTTTAATATTTTGTTTTTCCTAAAGATTAACAATGGATTTACTTTTTTTTTTAATTTTTATTATAATCGATTGAATGACAAGACAATATCTACACAACTTAGTTTTTTAAATACTATATATTGTGATCTGTGATCTTGTAACATTATGTATACTGCTCACTGGTATGATATTTAGATACCATTATAATTATTTAAAGTTGTGCTTTGTATGACATATCGTTGGATTATTTTAAATTCTATTGACATAATTCCGTGTTTAAAAATGAAAAAGGTTTTATTTTATTTTTAAAAAACCAACAAAAAGACTGCAGTTATTAACTATTATTATTGGTGTCTCTTAATGATGCCTGAAAAATTATTATCTTATATCAATATTCAATAGTAGGTATTTTATTAATATATTATACGGTATATAATATATATATAACTTTTTTTACATATTGTAATGATATGATCGATAAAATTAATTTTACTACTAAAATTATACTATTCAAACCATAAAATAATAAAATATTACATAAATTGTCTTGTAACACTGCAAAAAAAAAAATATATGTTCGATTACTTAATACTATTCATGTAACATAACTTAATATAATATGATTTATAATATTTGTAGTTAATATTATACAAAAAATAAAATCTTGTTACTGATCACTTTGATTTGAGGACATGTATTAAAATTCCAATGAACGCGCATTGTACCATTCTATGCATCCAATAAAATCTAAAATAAAATGGTTTATTAATGATTTATCTATGGGTATACCAGTTTATTCTTATACCTTTGTAGTTTACTCAACGCTTGAGGAATGGTCGATGGTGGATCTTTGAGTACATAATTCCGTATACCAAACACATAATCTCTGACATATGTATCCCACACTACTTTGGTGATATCTATGGGGAACATTTGCCGGTCAACAAATGAGATGTCTTTGTTGAGTTCCTGGATGTTCTTGCTGATGAAGTCCCACTGATGGAGTGCAAAAAATTCGCCGGTTCGAGCAGCCATTTTAAAACGTCGATAAATTTTTAACATCCTGTGGAACAGCACACAATGTATTAGATATTACGTTTAAGTTTGTTGACATCACTTAGGGTAAGAACAAGATTACTTGTTAGTTATTTTCAACGCTGATTAATAAAGCTTAAAAAAGAATGAATGAGAGTGGGTAACAACTCCACCATCGTCACAAAATAAATGAATTGAAATCTATTACAATTCTATGAGTAAGGAGTGTAAGGTATACTGGTGTCTTAGGTTTTTAGTGCTTACCCATATTACAAACTGGTCACTACTGGTAGCCAAGTATGGGCCAAAAACACATAATTAATCAAAGGAGCTTGTAAAACTCTAATTATGGTTTAAAATCGATAAATCCCTATAAATATTTAATTGAATTTTTTCAATATAAAAGTATCAAGAAGACAAATTATTGATGTTAAAATGAATGCAATTTGACTGATGAAATTATTCTAGTCTGCGATATTATCACTACTTATCTTATCCATACCAAATCTATGAAAGCCAATTTTAATTAAAATCTTGAACGTTGTCTACCATTATTTTTTTTTTTAAGTTTTAATTTTATGAGTTATACAATTTTATTACACTAATCCATATTTTTTTATAGGCATTGAAAAATTCAATGAATGTATTTTTATTTGTTCGGTTGTATCTCGTATACATCAATATAATATGTACTTTAAGTTTTAACTGATATTATATTATTAAGGAGATGACTATAGGCAATTATGTATACATATGAATATATGATATTATGTAGCCGTAAAGGGAGTAAATATAAATCGTATAGTAATAAACTTAGGGCTGTGAATTTGAAGGAAAGTTCATTTTTTTTTGGCGATTGTGAAACGTAGCTTTATAAGTACACAATTTGAATTATGTAACAAAATAATGAAACTTTTATTTTGTATTTTTTTGCATTTTTAGGTCATATTTTTCTTTTTAGTTCATTTTTTGGTATTTTTAATTGAATTCCGTTCATTAACAACTTTAAAAACCTAATTATTAACAAAATAAATACATAAAAAAAAATTTAAAAAAATGTTTCAGGTGAATAACATTATACAAAATTCAAGTTAAATCAACATTTTAATATATTTTTCTTGTGCATGTAACTATACATGTAATAGATTTATAATATCCTATAATATCCTATAAATATAAAAATTAAATCAATAACCATTTTAAGTGAATTTCATACTATAGTTTTTGGCATTTCAAGTGTATGTTTTATTGAATTTTTTCGACATTTTTAATGCTTTTTTAAGGTTTTTTAGATCATTAAATTCATACCTCAAGACTAATAATAATGAGGTTTACGCACATGTTGAGGTGTAGTGTCAAATTAAATTTGATAAAGCAAATTTTTGGCAGTTTACTAATGTCAATAAAATTTTAACTGTGTCTTGTACTCTTGTATGAAGTTATGCGTTGACCAATAAACATTTAGAAAATGGTTTACAATTTTTTTACAAAATCTCGTATCGAAAAACTTTAACAAACTTTAGAAATTTTACATTTTAAATGTCTAATATAAAATATATAAGTTGGTATAGTAATACGATTATTATAATATAGTATTATGATCGGCAATGATTACTTAGAGCTGGCCATTAACTAGTTAGAAAGTCACTATTTTGCTAACTTTCTAACTAGTTATTTTTTAGTTTACTGGAAACCTAAAACATCCTAGAATAAAATCTATTATTCCGTTGAATTTCATATCTAAATTTGTTATTTTGGGCTCATTGTAACTTGTTCTTTGTTCGGTTTTTTTTTTTTTTTTTAAATTATTATTATTGTATAGTTGTATGCAGATTCTGATTTAAAGTGTGAAAATAAAATACAATATTACAGAAGTGTAATTTATATGATATATTGACAGTGTATATACTGGTCATCAGATTTATTAATTATAGTATCTATTGAATTATGTCGGTAATAAGTTTGAAATTTGAAACTTTGATTCGTAAAAATGAGAGTACTTTTCGTTGAGATGACACTTTTTTTTTCGAAAAGAAATAAAACTATTATAGATACTGAATGTGTCAAACATATCATAAAATATTCTTTGTAATAAAGGCTGACAGATGGTTTCTCGTATGAAATCATTCATCTTTTGAATTCAAATTTAACATATTGGTACATCACACACAGTGACTAACCATCAACCCGACACCTCCAGCAGTGCGGCTGAGCGCGTAACTATTTTCCTCCTTTTTTTTATTTTACCGTGGCTAACCCCTCCTCCCCAAATTTTACAGTCTCACCGTTACGCGACTCGTAAGCGCCAGTTAATCACATTAGTTATTTAATGTACCTATGACTTCAATAATAATACTCACATAGGCTTGGAACCGGTGAGACGTAGCACGATGTCCAGCACGAACGCGGGCACGAAGTGGAAGAGGATTTCGCACAGTCTGTGCACCATGCGGTTGGTGCGGAACGAGAAGCCAGGATACCACTGCAAGTACTTGGACGGCGCGGTCAGCGAGTGGTACTGGCACAGGTTACCCAGTTCCTCCCAGCGGAGCGGGTTCAAAGCTCCGGACGTGCAGTTGTACACCCGGACTGCGTTTTGCCTGAAACACGAACGTCGTCAATGAACGAACGAATGTCGATTGTCGGTTCATATCATTATTTCATTATCGACCGACACGAATAGCGTCGTCGTGTAATTATACATTACACTATGTATCGTAACTCAACGAGCAATAGGCAGGCACATAATAAATTACAAATCGAAAATTTAAAATCTTAATTTCACGAAATTCTTTTTTAGTACAACAAGAGGAACGCCGTGAAAATCGCAAACCCCTAGCGCTATCGTGGTTTTGGCTGTACGTCGATTATGAATCTGTCTGTCGGGACTTTTCTTTTTATTTATTTGGTGCGGATTGCAAGAGGACGTCTCGCTGTTATAGGTAAGTATACATAAGTAATAAATTAATAAGCACTGGAACACGGTTCTAGAAATCTGAAACGTGGGACGAGGCCATGATATTTCTTTCCGGAAAGACAAAAAACATAATTTTAATACCTACCTGTTAGATAATTTTTGCTCATTATTTATCAACATTGTGAGAAATGTTGCGATTAAAGAAATAGTCCTGGGGGACTAAAGCCTTGAATTCATGCTTGCTAAACATGTTGACGCGTTCAGCATCCACGAATGATGTCTGATTTTAGATAACTGATATAGTGATAAACGACAAAACACTTGCAATAATAACGAAGCATAAAGACATTTTGGAATGCTGCAACACATGCGGGTTTTTTATTTTTTGAAATATTTTTTTAACGTATTTAGAACTGTGGTCAATTAGAAAAAAAGAAATAATGGAGTTAAAAAAATTACTAAATCGTAGGATTATATTTAACATTACGAATTAGATAGTTATACGATATGTCCTAAAATGTTGTGAACTTTAATTTTTTTTAATAAGTGTTATAACTTAAAAATCAGTATATCTATAACGGCTATAACATATAATAACAGTTGTCTGTGTTCCGGGAATTTTTTAATGCGTTTGCTATAATAATTTTGTAATTATGCATCAACAGCAATGGGAACTTACAAGTAAATATTATGTATTAGCATATAGCATTAAATGTATATTTTATACTTAATTTTAATTAAATACCATTTTTTTATCATTAAAATTATTTTTATGTTTTTAATAAGTGTAAATATTATAATTAATTTTAATAACGGTATCATCGCCCTCCCTTCTTCTGTTTTATTGATCTACTAATGCGTCGCATTTATTTATGGGCTTTTAATCTGAACGGATGTATTTAGGTTTAATACTATCAATTAATATTAAACTATTATAAATAGAAGCTGCACATTTAGCAGCTGTACAGTGATTTTATATACCATACGATGGAAAGTGATTTTGGAAGACGGTCATTGAAAGCACTTATAATGGATGGACGCTTTTAGAAAACACGGTAAATATATTATTTTGTAATATTGTATTACCGAAGCTCGACTGTCGCGCTTTTATCGACAAAATACTGTTTGTACAATATTCTATTAATATAATATATGTACAGTGACAGGGGACCACTATAACTCATTAGACATATGTTTGGGGACGTTCATTGTAAGCGAAACTATAATATATAGATATGTGTTGAGTATGACTTGGACCGACTTATAAGTATTTATTTACACATCAATTGTGATTTAAGGTTTTGTGGGATGTGAAACTGAAAGCTACGTCTAAAGAATTCGAAAAATAGCGTCATGTCTGTATAAACATTTTTTTTTTTTTTATTTTTTATATAAAAAGTCATTGAAATAGTAAACCTATATAGATAGTGACTGTTGTCAATATGATATCTACACGACAGCGTTATTTCGATAGTTTGTAGGTAGTAGGTACATTAAAATATTAACCACATTTTTTTTACAACTCAGGCATAGACAAATATACTCACATGGAGGCTAATTAATTATTTTTTAGACATGCAATTATTGAAAATATCACCGAGAAGTACGATATTATAAAAGTAAGTAAGTACGCAGAGATTAGGTCAATTTGATTCGAACGATTCATTGTAACTATTTACTCTTCTATAATAGTATAAGAGAAATGTATTTTTAAACTTTAAATGACTTTTTAATATAATTTATTATGTATCTACATTACAAGGTAAATGGTAAAAATAAATAAATAATCTTGATATAAAATAAAATGATTATAATTAAAAAAAACTTCATCTGGAAGCCTGAACAGTTTTCTATATCTATGTTTTCATTTGAATGTTGAATATCATCAAATTAAAACTAGGGAGAAAAAAGTCTTAAGAAATAAACATACACAAAGAAAATATATTTCTTAATACCATTACTATTGAAAAAAATAAAGATTTTCAATCCTCTTTACTATACATCAATTCTATAATAGCAGTCAACATTATAAAACTTTTATTAAAAATGTAGTCTCAATAAACCCAATACACTCGGATGATAACAAAGACAATGTTTTTTTTTTCAGAACTACTTCAGTATTTTTATTTATTAGTTATCTTGAACGCCAGAATTCAATAAAAAAAAACTTAAAACTTTTTTCTATGAATTTTATCGAATTATTTTACAGTACAATAGTTATGTACAAACATTATGTAAAATTCAGTTGAGTTATAATAAAAAAAAGTCAAGATGCTTGATTATTAAAATAAATTTAATAAAGTATTTGAATGTCGGTCCTATTTCATATTATTAATATTTATTAATATCCAGAATGTCAATGCAAAAATGAAATTGATATAATCAACATTCATAAAATAATGTAAAATCCATACTTGTTATCATTTTTTTAACATGAGTTCTTACATTTTAAAATTTTATTTCATGACGATATAATTTTTTGACATAGGCATCGGGAGAGCCATAAATGCACTTTTAAAATTAAATTAGTGTTTTGTAAATTTAATAAATATTTATTTTTACTTTATTAATACAACTTATACTCAGAGTCTGAACTTCTAATTCCTCAAAAACTTGAAATATGGTACTGTCATGAATCAATAGGTTTTAGAGTATTTCATTTAATATCAAATCGAATTCTTAAAATATAGAAAAAGAACTAATTAATAAATGTTAGTAATAAACACTAAGTATTTATAACTAACGGTATGTATTTTAAATTCTACTTTTTTTTTTCTTCGTCCTTAACTCCGAATTATATGAGTCAGCTATTCTTGTTCTACACCTCTGTAAGGCTCTATTTTTCACCTCTAAATAAGAAGTTAAAATGAATAAATAACTCATATTAACTATTTTTCGTATCATCCTCGATTGAGTCTATTGATAACTAATAAATTATTTATTAAACACCATGTTAAATATAACTTATGTACCTGTCAATATTATTTTTTAAGTGTTAATTTGATTGACTATTTATACATGTACAATGTACTTGCATAAAAAAATAATGTCAATTAAATTATACAATTCACAAATGTTTCGAGGCTAATGACCACTAACTTTTAGTGTAATTACTAATTATTAATTATTATATAGATAATCTATATATAGTGTGAATACGTATAAACATAGTAGGACTGAAGCGTAGTTATAAAAAAAATAAAAAATAAAAATATGACAAAAATGCTTTTGAGACTGAAATCTTTTCGAGATACGAAATACCAACTATGTTAATATTGTAAGCAGAAAAAAATATCGAGCTACGATTAATAATGCATTACTCAGACGCAGCGAATCAGTTTTTTTTTCAATTTTTTTTAGACCAGTAATAATAAATTGTCAATTATTAATCATTTAAGTGTTCCGTTTTGTTTTTACCTGTATGTGGCCGTGTGCCAGGCAGACGTTATCAGCGTGTTTACTAGAATGTCGACAGGTATGATGTCCACTCGGAGCTTTTGGTCGCAAACGATACTTCTGATCGTGCCTCGTCCTATCTCCATCATGATGCCCGTGATACCGCTCATGTTGTCTACCCACCCTTCGAACGGTTCTCTCCAAGCAGCAGTCACTTTGAACATAATTTTAATATAATATCGTCATTTTTGTCACATCATATTGTCGCAGTATTTTTTCTTGTAAAGGTTTTCATATTGGAGAATAGCAGTTCAATTTCTCAAGAAAAATTTAAATTAACAAATGTAAATTTAAATACGTGTAAAATTTGATGCGTAATGTGTACATTGTATAAACAATTCTGTTGAAAATATATTTTGGCGCAGATTAATTATTTGTAATGTTTCTGGTGCGTTTTTAGTGCTAAAATATACTTAGATATCACAATTAAAAATTAATAATATTTTGGAGAATATTTTTTATTTGTTTTAACAGTTATATGATTAACGTATTGTACTATTTTGAAAAATGGATAAATTATAACTTCTAAAATAATATTAGTTTTAAAATTCATGATTTATTCAACTAGGGAGCTATTATAGAATGATGCTAGCAGATGCAAATCCGGAAAACGCATTTGCTTATTTGTATTGAATAAGAATACGTTAGATTACGTGATTCGCATCTGATAGGACATTAAAAATATTTAAATATAAGTATAACGTAGGTATTCGTTGTTATCCGCAAATAAAATTTTACATTAAATGTGCAAAGGCGTAATAATTATGTTAAATTAGTCATATAATTAATTATAACAGTTTTCTAACGCAATCAATGGAAGTTGGCGTTATTGTACACCCAAGTGTGAGAGCGTCTTTGAATAGTGACCATTAAAGAACGGCGATGGAGGAAAAGGGATTATGTGATCGCCTATCTAAAAGATTTATTTTTGTACAAACGTACAATTATTATAGTTTCGGTTATTTAGTAGTAAATTTTATCACTTGTTTCTTTTTTCATATTTTTTAGATCAATTATTTGATTATATTATGATTTAATTATCGCGACAATTTAACTGTATAATAGTGGTAATGAATCAATTCATCATGATTTATAATTATCACGATTAAAAATAAAAAAATGTAAACTAAATGCGTACTTATGAACATAAAGACTATTAATATCATTGTACATTAATTATGTTATTGTTGTACAATATAATGTAAATACTTTTATTTTACGGTAGAAAATTCACTCGCTCTCCACAATTAAAGGACACTCCTGACATACACACATAGGTACCCATAAATAATAAAACATAACATACCTATGCTGGGTCTTACGATTGCCGCTGGTATGTCATCCGCTTGTTCAGCGACTACCCACTCGGCCATGGCTTTGGTCATAGTGTACGTGTTCGGGTGTTTACCCTGCATCCGCCGTCCCATCTCTCGCAAATCGTCCTCGGACATCTTCTGGCAGCAGTTTATCACGAACTCGGGGTCGGCAGGTGGCTTGTACACCGACTCCTGGATCGTTACCTTATCCGCATTCGAATACGCAGTCGACACATGAATCATAGCCTACGACGACAATTATATTATGTAAGTGTATATGTATTGTAGTTTAACAAAATATTATATTATTGATCAGTTGTTATTATTGAATTGTTTTTGTGCATTCACGTGGTGTCATTGGTACGCTATGATAGCACAGCAACTTCGTAGGAAAAGCTCAGGGTGTAGACGGTGTTTATTCGGCTAGTTTGGCTGAAAACGCGAGCACGTACCCGTCGTCATTATTGTCATTTGCGAATACACAAAGGTGGGCATTAACTAGGTAATTTATAAGTTAAAGTTAAGTTAAAATATTGATGTTTTCAAACGTAACCAGTAAGTTCATTTTAAAATTAACTTGATAACTACTTATTATGACCTATTAAAAGAATTAGTTATAAAATAACAAATTAAATTAAAATTAATTAGTTAATGAGTTTTTTATTTATATATTCATTTTTTTTTCTGACTGTATAAAAAAATTATTTAAATATATATATATATATATATATATATATATATATAAATAAATGTTTCTTGATTTGATAATTTAATTGATGTAAGCATCTAATAAGTAATAATTTGTAACCTAAACTATCACAGTTACTTAATTATGTAATGAAAAAGAAATAGCGTGTGATATATATTTTTAACAAAATATTTGTTTGTAATTTAAAAACAAAATAAAAGGTATAAAATCGTTATATGTGTAACCCAGGAATCAAGTGACGGTTAAAAAAAATTGAGACCTCTTTTTTTAATTTGGTTAAGTTGATATTTTTTTTTATATTAATTTAAAACTTTTATAGCTAAATATATTGTATGTTAAAGAAATTTGTGTTTATCAGTTTTTGATTTTTTATAGTAAGCGTTAATACTAGAATGAATGGACCTATTACTAAATTTACAGGTAAGAACATTATTTATATTTTCTCGAAGATTTTTCACCATATTTTAATTTTGAAGCAAATTGTGAATAGGTATCTATTTAAGATATTGCACTTTAATAATTAATATGATTTGCTTAAAAATTTTAATACCGTATAAAATCCACGAGAAAACATAAATAATGTTTTTGATTGTGAATGTTTTTTTTTTTTTTTTGATTATTCTTTTTTATATTGTTAATGGCTATTGTATAAAACTGTAACAACACGATGAACATAATTTTTTTATGTTGTAAATACGTTTGTAAAACGGAAGAAAAACAATCTGGTGCAGCGTTCTCTCAAGTATAATTCAAAATAAGTTTTAGTTAAGACTATATAATGAGCACTTAATTAGAGATAAAAAAACAGCTGTTGGACCGCTCTCTAAAACCTACACCGCAATGTCATATTTTATATTTTAATGCACAATTGTACATGCGTTTATTATACTGCAACATTAATTTTCCGGGCCACATGAAATTCGCATAAGAGTTACTTATCAAAATATTAAATAACTGTTGTTACTCATACATTTTCAATATTAGGAGGCAATTGTTTGAACGAAAGGTTGCTGTTATGTACACATTAATTATCATTTATAAACACTATTTTCGATTTTAAACAGACGTTTCTACTCCACCCCTTCCATCACAGACTCGTTTATTACCATTGTGCTTAAAGTTTTAAAAAACCAATCTACTGTGACTAACGATTTGTCGAACAGTACTTAAGCGGTAGTTATCAAACCACGCTGTACTCTTAAATAAACAAAAACGAAAGACGTCATTCAATTATTCCACACTAATGTAACGTCATACGGTTTTCTTTAAACACGCAAACCAATAACCTTTTATATGACAGCAATATAAATTTAACAACTGTCGTTTTATTTTCTAATGTTTTTATTTTATTTTTTTCCACTAAAAATATTTAATATACATACGTCAATATTATGCGTGTCATTAAATTTATCTCATACATAGTATGCTAATATAGTCATCATATACCTAATTATATTTAATATGGTGTACGAGTTTTAGTTTTTACGATAGTGTATATATAGCTCTAATAAATACGCGTATTTACTATAAAAAGAAATTTCCACTACCAGGTAATTTTATATATTTCTATATGTATTTTCTTGAACTTCGCAGAAACAAAATACTAAACCTATTGATGTTATTGAAATATAACTAGAATAAATTGTCCAGAAAAATCAAATCAAATCAAAAAACAATATTTTTAAATTTAATTATTTTATGTCTTTCAATCGATTTAAATTTAAAGTAGAAAATATCGAACAATAGGTAACCAATCCACGATCAAGTCGATTTTACGTTTTTTAAGTAGAAAATATTTTCAAAATCTCGTGTGGGCGGTAAACAGCTAAACGCATAAATCATGGTAAAATAAAAAAAAAGTACTGTGCTTTAAGTAAACAATTAGATAGTTTTATATTTATATATTTAATATTACTCTACAGATATTGTATTGGAATCATAATGTAAAATACTAATATGAAAATAAAAAATTCATTTTTAAGACAAAATAAATTTACGAGTTTATAACATAACTAATGAATTCAGTTAGTTTGCCTTCAATTTTCTCCCTATCATGGAAAGCCCATCATCATGTCTTTCATCATTCATTGTTGTCTTTAGCCATGTCTTAACTCTGCGCAAAGTATTAAATAACCCTTCTACAGTACTAGTTGTTGGCGGTAATTCAATATAGGTAGATGCCAGATATTATATTAATATATTAATATATTGTTCCTACATAACGTTTGACTTCGGCAAAAATTCATATTTTTTTTTTCAAATAATTTTATGTAGTATTATGTTATATCATCACTCATCTTCATAATAAACCCTATAGACGTGTATTAATGTCCGTGGCGGTAATATTGAATATAAACAATAATAATCGACAAAGCTGCAGTTATGTTGTCACGATAAAATAATTACGTATCAAGTACGATTATATCGCGGTTTTATAAAAATATTGAGAATTTGTGCTGGGGATAGACTTTAAAATCATAACCGAACGACTGTTTGATTTCAACCATCGCAGACGATATTCAATTATTACTATAATATTATACATATTATTAAATTAATGTCAAAGTTAAAAAGTTTTTTGCTTTCAAAGTTTTATATCAACCAGTTAATAAGTTGAGTTTGTTTTAATTAATATAAATACCACGTATATCATTTAGTATTCGAATTATTTTCTTAGCTCAACTTTAACTTTATTTATTATATTATTTTATTTTTACCGTACAAACGCTGTTTTTCAATTGTTCCGATTAACTTAATTTAAAAGTTTTAACGACTAGAGAAATATTTATTTTTTTTTGTTTGTCTCATGAATATGAAAATTGCTTTATTTCATTCTGCTGATTTTCAATTTATATAAATATCATAATCTGTTTTTTCCCGATTTTATTTAAAACGCGCGAGGTCTGGAGATTCTGTGAGAGACAGCGTTTTTGATTAATTTTCGTCATTAATTTATAATTGGCGTGAAAAAACTAGCTCCAAAGTCCTCTCTCGAGTACATACCTTTAACTTTGGCATCGACCGGCACAGTTCGACGACGCGTCGCGTGCCCAACGTGTTGAGTGTGACGGCGGTGCGGAGGGTTTCATTAAACTTGACGGTGGCTGCTGAATGGAAGACGATTGTCACGTCGGAACACAGTCTTTGCCTGTCTTCGGCGCTCAGACCCAGGTCGGGGTCGGATACATCACCGCTGATACACACCACTTTCTCGAACACTTTTTCCGCTTCATCCGTGGACCGAATGCGATCGAACACCTGCGCAAGAAAAATCACACGCACCGTGTAAATAAAATTATAGGTATTAAGCATATTATATTGTTTTAAAATCAAAAAAAAAAAAAAACGTATTCAAAACTATTAACTAAGGCTATTTTTTCAAATAATATTTGCCATATTTTAAAATAATCATTCCATGTTATAATACCATTCGAGTATCTGTACAGAATATTTTTAAATTATTCATAAAAATATTATTTAAGTGGTCACGAAAAGATGTTTGAATGTGTTTTCAATGTTGTATTCAACGGTTTTCACTTGTTATATGTAATAATATTTGGTTATTTAACAGTTGATTTTGAGCTGAACGATGAGTGTGTTGATTTTAAGATGATATGTCTTATATTTTTGTGTGTCTGAATATGCGATAAGTAATTGAAAAAGTGCTTCGATTTTCTACTGAGGATGGTTTTTAATAGTAATTAATTGTGTCTAATTTATACTTTTATGAGGTAGGTATAAGATGAAAATTTCTCAGAGCTTTGATATAAATAAGTAACTTTAGATACTCGAATTTTTCTCAAAATATTATATTATTATTTCTTACACATAAAATAATTTTCTAATTTGACTCTTTTTGTGCTATTTATAGACATTTGAAATTTTTTATTATTTTTATTTTTTAGATTTTTCTTTTTAAATATTGATAAAAATGAAATTTCAATATGAAGTTCCTCATAAGTTATTATTATAGCTATTTAAAAATACTAAAGATAAATAGGGGTGGTTTTAAGTTGGAAGAATGTTAATTTAAAATGTTCAAAATTACGAAAATTCGCAAATAATTTTGTAGTTAAAAATTTGTAAAATATTCAATTTTTATACATAGTTACGCATTGAAAATTTAATGCAAGGTTTCTCATTGATAGTTTATACTATGTAATCAAAAAATTTAAAAATATATAAGCATGATTACTGTTATAATATAATATAGAGGTACCCATTACTTACACATTTTAAATTCAAATTTGAACGAAATTATATTATATTTAAACAAAGAATAATGAATTTAATTACTTTGCTTGTGATTCAAAAATGTAATTTGTTACTTCAAAAGACTTTTAACGTATATTATCATTCTTTATAAGCTTAATAACATTTTCAAAAGCTACGTTTTCGGCGAAAATTAATTTTATCTACCGTATTACTTAGCGTTTCAGCATTAATTTTACAATATATTAAATTGTTATACTATAAAATCACTGCAAATACTAAAATAAATTACTATAATAGAAACATAAATAAATCACATCAAAATATATTTAGTAATATAGACTGACCGCCGATTAGTCGTTTTCGCTTAGATTCGTTCTTCGTATGTAATTATTTATCATTAAATTCATATTTAAATTTAATTCTTCGATGATGAAGTTCACTCTACACTTACCGTTTAGCAGAGCGGCTACTTACTTCTTTTTTTTTTTATTAGCTATATTACATTAACTTTTATTAAATTGTAATTTTCACCATAATGTCGAGGACTAGGAATTATATTTTTAAAATACTTCATGTTCTTGTTACATGATCTTGAAAACTATGGCACTAAATAAGTGCAATGTAAAATCGATTTTTATATTGTATAGATATGGCTATATGGGCAATATATGGTTATTTTACCGAGTAGGTACTTACTGAGTATTAAAACCTTAACAATTGAATTTTGAGTTATAAAAACTGCATTTTACGCTTACTGTATTACTGTATACTTACATAGAGAACAAGAGTCTAAAATCGTTTTATGGCTATGATAGTATCATGCTTAAAGGTTTTGTATTTTTACTATTGTGGAATATCTCGATATGCCAATATACGAGACAACAGTCGATAAAAATGTTACAACTTTTTGGCTAAAACCAAATAAAAATCGATTTAAAGGTTTCGTACTTTGTTTTTTATAATTATCATATGAATGCGCTCATTCGGGACGGACTCATGACAAATATAGTGGAGGAAGTATTCATTTTAATCTATATGTACCAGCGGTTCTCAAACTTTTTTGGTTCACGTTTTTACAAAAATAAAAAAAAATTCAATCGCGCCTTCCTTGAATAAATGTAACAAACATTTTTATTAGTGTGTAGTACTAAATAAGTACTTGTAGTGAACATGTACATAATATCAATATTTATATCGCGTCTCCACTATTAAGCGTTTGTGCCTCCCGAGGGAGCCGCGCCTCTCAGCTTGGGAACCGCTGAAATGTATGTTAAAGGTATAAATAAAGGTATGTTAAATTTGTAAATATTATATAAGAATTAAACCCATCACTTGTGCTTATTTTTAAATTATCCTTAAAGAATGGTGTAATGTTTTTATGGTATAAGTATGTATATTTACACAATAAAAAATATAATAGAGACGCGGTTGCCCATCTAGCCACCATGAATGCAACGAACCAAAAACTTAGCACACCCAAAGCGTATACGATTTCCCTCATACTTATTTTCAACTTGTAACAATGTTTATAATATATCATGATTACGACATGTTTTGAATTTTGTCTTAAGTAGTTGATGTCGCTGTCAAGTAGATATATAGTTTGGCGTGCCGCATGACAGCGTTATTTTATGTACTGAGTAGGGGATACCTTTCTATACGATTATTATAAACTTTAAGTAACTTTTCGCAAACGTGCGTCTGACACCGATCGTCAATATCTATATAATAAACATTAAATATATTCGAGACACGTGGTCCTGAAACCTGCACATGTCGCAGTAATAACTATGATAACATTTAATATTTTACATAGAAATGATGAGCCTACAATGTACCTCCCAGTAATTGCGTGGTTGTTTAATCCTATTGCTAAGTTAGCAAATCAGGTCTTACATAATATATATAGTGATGTTGAGTGATATCGAACAATTTTTTTTTTTTAATATTGATGTAAGGATGTAGTTAAGTACATATCGATGATATTGATGGCGAAATAAATACCTCCTACATTAGATATAGTTCATACTTTATATATATATATATTTATATTTTGAGAACAAAAAATAAATTTTACGATTGAATCTAATATCGCCAACTGTATAGTAAATGTATAAGTACTTAAATAAAATTTATATTTTATTGTTTTATTCTTTTTATTGTGTTAGAATATAAAATATAATAAAGTTGTACAATTTTTTTTTATTACGAGTGCTAAAAAATATCACCAATAAATTTATTTTCGATAATATGACATTGGTATTTGATATATTACGTGATACAATATTGATACTTTGATATCATATTACTGACACTTGATTGTCATAGCGAACTATTTAACATCAAATATTCGTTATACAGTAACATAATTTGTGCCTAGTATTCGTCGTTGTATCTAATAAGCATTTTACACACTCTGTATTTATCTACCATAATAATGGTTTGTCGATCGGTCTATAGTCTGGAAAATACCAAAATAACAGTACTACTATTTGGGACTTATAATACACATCATACAGAATTATAGAGATATGATCGGATTACGTGCTCTTCTGTCCTATTAAGCCATAAACGCGGACCCCTCTCCCCGTGCTTTTATTTTTTCCGTGAAAAGTCGTGAGTATAAAAAACTGCGAATATCTTTATTTCAGAGATAGGTATAATATTGTATTTATTGAAAACGTATAGTGGTTTATACCAATGGTTTATCCCAGATTATCCTAGGAGCAGAGGAGGGGAGGTAAAAGGACTATAGCCCTTTGGTTGTGTTTTTGATTGTCTAGCCTTTATTGATTTGATGTATTTATTTTTAGTGTTGAATAAAATACAGTGCTGTTTAAGTTTAAATACACTTCAAGGATCCCGATCGAGTTAACTTAATAAGTGACAACATTTTTATTTTTTGCAATATACAATCATGTCGGCGTCTTCTGTGTTCTTTGTGTTACTACTTAGTCCTAAATGATCATCAGCAACTGTGAGTGAGATTGCATTCGAGTACCGAGTTATCTATGCACACATTGCAATTGGCATATATTTCAAAGGCACCGCCTATCAAAAATGAAAAGCTTGATATTTTATTCAAAACACATTTTACAGGAAAAACTCTTACGCCTCGTCGAGTTGTTTGGTTTCATTATTTGTTTATTTTTTTTTTTTTTCAAAGAAAAATTACGATTATTTACTGAGCGCATAGGACTTTGATTCTCATTGCGTTGATTGTAGTAAAAATAATTAATAAAAAAACAAAATTTGTGAAAATTTGTCGTATTCAAAATGGAATGTATAATAAATTAAAAAATTTAAAGTTTTTAATTAGGTGAAAAGTGTTTTGTAAGTTTTTTCTTAGAAAAAAAAATTTATATATCATATCAAAATCTGATCACTCTATTAAGCGTGAGAGTTTTTCTTAAAAGACATATTTTTGAACAAAAAAGCTCGTCACGTCAATCTCTCACTCAATACCATAATAAAGTGCCACTTGTCACTTAATCGTATACTGGGTAACGAGACAAAGCTTTTTAAGACACCTGCTACATTAATCGCTATTTCCTACTCGAACGACATTATCGCGAATCTGTAATATTTGTACCTTTGGTGAACGTCAGATCAACTGCAACTATATTAATCTGTCATCGTACCTATAATGGTATCAGATATTCTGATTATATTTTAAAACTTCGTCAGTTTGCAGAATTATGTGGGTTGAGGATACATAATTATCTATTTATTAGAAACCTACTGGATGAACATTTCGTGTAAATGGTTAATTATTTATTTATTAGTAATGCACAAATTGCATTTTGGTTACGTAGTTGCTGGGTCAAAATGTTTTAAAAATAAATTAGTTTGTTCATCTTATAAATTATAGGAACTGTAAAAACTTATTTATCCCGGAAAAGCAAACAAAATAACCTATTGGTCTGGGTTTCTGCAAAGAAATCATTATTATTTTATTTCTTTCAAACCACGATAACACGAAAAATATATTTACCGAGAATCCACATAGATTTACAACGCTTACCGAACCATACTGTTATATTATCGTGTTAGCTACATAATGTATAACATGATTAAATATTCATGTGTGTAGCCTACTTGATGTAGGCCTATATTGTGTGTGCGAAAATGCGATAAAACCGCAACGAATCAGGAATAACAATCATAGACGTCCCCAGGGGGGGCAAGACGGGGCACTTTTCCCCTTTCCTAGAATTTTAAATTTGTTACCTTACGTAATAATTTAATGTAAAAATGACGAAAAACAATAATGTTCTATAGATAAAATGTATAAAAAAATCTTCATTTTTTTTTTTTTTTTTTTTTTAATTAATTTTGCCACTTCCCGTAGAAAAATTTCTGGGGACGCCCATGATAGCAATAGCTGTTCTCTTCCTCTGTTTTAAACTATTACTATATGATAATAGTTTTAAAGTAAATATAATAAAATATATATTATATAATATCAATATGAGCACTGCAATCAGCAATCGAGTGTCACGTAAACGTAAATAATCAACGCAACGATATTATACGACGTTTATATCGTACATACGTCATATCGCGTTCTATATGAACGACGTAAGTACGATGGACATCCATACTATTGTGATGGTATATCAAATTTTCTCTATAGCGCCCATGGCCATGTGTAGGTGTGGTGAAATTATGCAATAGAACTGCTCATTGATAAAAAAAAAAAAAAAATTAATTTAAGTGTAATTTACGTATAACACAATCGATTATTGTATTAGGTCAAATCGATAACGGAAATATAAATTGGTCGGTATTTACAGCACGCGTGTGTGTAATTATAACGGCCACGAGAAAGTGTAAACGAGAGTATCCGCTATAAGTAGGTACGTGTACCTAATAGATAAAATATATCCATTGTATGATGTTGGCGTACAGGATATTGGTGGTCGGTGACGTACAGTAAAAATATTATTATATTACGGTTTGTAGGTACCTACCTAGTGCGCAGCGAGAGATATTATGATATCGTAATACGATAGCGTTGTCGCAAATCGTAATAACTGCGGTTCATTAGAGTTCAAAATTAATGTTTCTGAAATAAAACTAACGCGATAATATTATTATGTGAAAACAATAAAACAACGAACAGTGGATAATAAAATGTATGTGTTACGATATTATAATGTGTGGTGTTATCGAAGAGACTTTCCCGTGTAAATAAAATCGTTTAGGTCTATACCGATTGTTGAGAATTTTAATGAATTTTTTCAAATGACATAATATATATATATAATGCCAAGTTTATGATGTACGTAACTATTGTTAGTGTTATTACTTATTACCTATTACCTATATCCTAAAGGGTATGTGCACCGTATGTCGTGAAATGAGTACAAATCAAATATCAATTGAAAGTTCTCGTGTGTATATTTTGTCGAAAGTCAAAACGCTCCGTACGCATTACTATTTGCATTAGTCGTTTCATAGAGTATGAATTACAATAGCCATTTTTTTTTTTTTTTTTTTATGGACGTGTCAACTATCAATTCATGGTAAAAATGTTTAATCTATTAAAGAGCTACACAATTTATAAAACTTAATTTTTTTTTTTTTTAACACATTAAGAAAAGAGGTTTTCAATAACAGTATTAAGTATTAGGTAACACACGTTCTTGACCTTTTGTTGTTTTAGAAAAAATGCCTACCTATATTTGTTTATTAAAATATTAACTGTTAATAAATCCGCAAAGTCTTATGTATTATTTTTGTATTTCTTATATTATAGGCAATAGAAATATGTATTTAACATCGATAAAGAAGTATGCTTATGTGAATTTGTTTGTTAATTTAAAACAATAATTTAGGACATTCACAAAAAATTCGGTTAAATGTCCAACTCGAGATGACTGGTACGAGCAATTATCGACGGTATCATTTTCGATAAGTGTTGTATTTAAAGACTTTAAAAAAAAAAAAAACAGACAATAAGCTAATGTAGGCAATAAAATCATATTTATTGTTAGAATTGTATAATTGATAATTGTATGTTACGTTTGTACATGATAGAAACACTAATTTTATTTAAGAATTATTTTAAATTATCAAATTTCTGAAATATTAAAAAAAAATTGTTTAATTTCTCTTTAGTTCTTTAAAGAACCTGATTTAATTATAGAAAAATTATAATATTACCAATTAATTAAATTTACTAGATTTTTATTGATTTTATTTTTTCTATAATAAAAGCCGTTGTAAAATACTTGTTAATATTTTTTTCTTAATTATTGACGTCATAAAGATTTGAACATTTCACTAATTAATGCATAAAAAAAAAAATTTAATTAATTTCTATTTTTAATATTTTTAAGTATACTTAATAATTTATTTATATAACTATTAGAAATCTATTTTTTTATTTCTAATACGTTATAGGTTGAATTAATTTTTGTCAAAAACATCGCATTTAATATTATTGTTAATATTAATATATTTAAATCTATATTAATGTACAATAAAACAGTTAGTTTCATAACAATAACTTTAAATTAGTCTAAATATTTTGAAAATAAGTATATATGTGACGTGGAGTCTCTAAAATCAATATTATTTGAATTGAAACAAAAAAAAAAAAAAAGACTTGAAACGTTGAAGAAATATTGTTATTACATTATTTGAAATATATTTCCATGTATTTTCGTCATTTTTATAATTTCTCTATTTTACAAGGAATTTCGTAGTAAATGTTCAAGTTTTTTGATTTAAAAATATGAATTATATTATATTTTAATTTATCTTGTATAAAGAAAATATAAATTAAAATAAAAACTTCACCAACATTTTTTTAATGAAACACAAATAACGTTATTTTCATTCATCAATATAATATTATTCCTCTATTTTGATTCAAAATAATAATTCATTTTAGAAAATAAACTTTTCTACGTGAATATTAAGTGTATTTGAAATGAATCAATTTTATTGAAAAGTTCAAAATATTGTGTTTAAAACTTGGAAACAGTGAATTTCAAAATTTCAAAATTATACTATATATTTAGGTAATTTTATTATTCAGAAACAATAAAAGAATTTTCTACCTATTTTTTTTTTTTTTTTTTTGATTATATTCAAATTAAAAATTAAAACATCAATAAAATACTATGAAATGCCTTAGACAAAAAAAATGTTTTAAATTTAATAACAGAAAAATTAACTATATTGTTTTAAAGCTGACAACACAATATTGTAGGTTCTCATGATCGTAAATATTCGTTATGACGTGGTTCGCGAGCCTGCAGATAGTATTAAAAACTAAAAGCACACTAATTATATGTGTACGTAGTATTAGGATCTTTCTTACCGGATTTTCCAACAGCTCCTGGTAACGGCATTCTATGTCTTTGCCACGCTTAGGTCTGATCAGCAGGTAAATGTTCTTCAGGCCGGGGCACGATCTGAGAAGCTTCTCGATCAGAGCTTTGCCCACGAATCCCGTGCCACCGGTGACGAACACCGAAGCATCGTCGTAGAAGTCGACCACTCTCCTGTCAGCGAGTGGCGCGACGTTCCAGTCCTGGCAGCCGAGGTCGTTGTTGTTGTCGGTCATCATCGTGATCAAGTGAACTTAAATGATATATATATATAATATATATTCAACGAGATAATGTGTGTTGTAGATCTCTGTAGACGCACTGCTATGATTTTACGTATCAGCTGTACAGACGTTCGGTGACCACTGCTGCTAAACCCTGACAACCGTCGAACGACCTGTCATCGTGTGCCGATAATTGTGTGTATATGACGCTGCAACGATAGAAATTCACCTAATTAATTTAAAAGTGCATCGACTACGTATTACGCGGACTATAGCTGTATAATGTATCGAATATTCCTAGTGAGGGGGAATGGAATAGTACATTATGCGACGTCTGTGGAGTGGTGGGGATATTGGGGAAAAGATGTGCATTATAACCACGGTTTAAGATGAAATGCACCGTCTTGACAAGATGGGTAAGAGGGAGTGACTTGTAAATGTCTATTCCCTTTCTATCATATACTATAATATTTTTGGTGGGTATACTCGTATCTCACAATGTAATTAAAAATACTGTCTAAACTATCAACGCGTCCGGCGTTGGTTTAACTTGAATAAACTAAATTTTAAAACTCATACCTAAACGGCTTACTTATAGTTTTGAGATAAAGTATGAAATTGTTGAATTCGTCATTTATATCCTATAAACTTTTAACATTTGCTTGATTGTGTAAAACTACTAATTTTTTTTTGTTTGACCTTTTTTATTTTGTTTTGAACTTAAACACATTATACATGCTCGAGCTCTTTTGATTACGTATACATAAATATTTTTGGTATAATAATTTAACCGAATTAAACACTCAGCGAATAAAATGATTAAATAATGTATTAACACATATATGAAATATAATTTGTAAATAAAAACACAATAGCGTGTATTATATAGTATATAGCATATAATATACTATATACACCCAACTTAATCAATTATATAGGTATTACGTATGCAGCTAAGTACGCATATTTTTGATAACATTTTCTGTATCGCCGTTTTTTACATCGATCTTTAAATATCTTTTCGTGCAAATGTCGAGCTCTTTTCACGGCCACTTATTGATTTGAAAACATATAAAAACTAAGCATAGTATAAATACGACATCTAATTTGATATACAAATGATATTTATTTTATGTGTAATATTATTATTGGTTGCCGTCGTACTAGACTAAGAGTTGAAAACGTTAAGGTCTATCCTACTTTCCACGAGTTTCATGTTTCCAAACAATTTATCTATAGCATTTCGTGTTTTGACCCTCAATTAGTCTCCTATTACTTATAAATTGAAAATTTGCTCTAGTATGATGATTTTTTTTATAAATATTATGTATTTATTACTTTGCAAATTCGACAATAATTAACTTTTTATTTGATGTGTAAGTACTTTGCACAACGACCTGTCAACTAACTATAGTAATTATCGATGTCTAGTCTTTTTAATTTTTAAAATTTTTTTTGTTTATATAAACGTCAGATAGTTGCTTAAACAATTTATTAAATTCCAATGTTGCGGAAAAAACATGAATTTTAAAATTCGACCAGCTCCTAATAGGTAGTCTTCCGATTGTACTTATTAAACCGAAAATTATTTTTTAAATTAAATATTTTTAAATCTTTGCCGTTCAACTTAGGCTCCGTCTTTACGTTTTTAGTGTTCCAGTGTACCTGTCTATACCGTGAAATCATTGACCTTGTTCCGTAATCTGATTAGTTTCCATTTCAACACTTGGCAACAAGTTTTTAACGCTGGAAACCTGGAAACGGTTGTTCGAGATTCCAGGACTTTGACCTATAATAGACTGATATTGAACCCGGTTTTTTTTTTAATAATCGTTCAATATTCAGGACCATTAATTTCGTAATATTTATTAACATTTTTGTTTTAAATATTTATACACGAGGTTTGTTACATTTTATCCAAAAATCGGTTTAATTGTGCTGTTATACCGGCTCTGATTTACACATGTGCAAGCGTAACGATTCCAAACTGTTAAGGTCATCCAAAAAATAGACGTGTTTACGTTATGATATACGAATATTAATGAGTAGGTACCTATTAAATGCTCATTTTCTACATTTGAACATGAAAACTTCCAAGTGCTCTACTTTGACACAAGCAAAGCTGGATTCTGTTATTGTTGTCATTCAATTATGCTACAAAAAAATCAACGTTTAAAAACATTGTTATTGTTGATTTTTTTTTAAATTAAAAATAAACGCATATAATTGAAAACGTTATTGTGATTTACGGATTAAGCTTGTATTTAATTGTCAGCTGCCTAAAATTTATAACAAAATGTTTTGTTAAATTATAAGGTTACAAAGTACATAGTGCATAGGGCTTCTATTTCTATAAATTAGTCCTGGACTGATACAATAAAATTGTTACTGGCAACAATGAATTGGCAGCTATTACGTAATGTGATGAATAAATATGACAGACGATATTTAACGTTGGTACTATCAAAAGTCTAATGAAGTATTAAAAGACTAAATTGATTTAATTTTATAGGTTCAAAGTTAATCCACACAAAACTGTTTGCGTATATTATTCGCGAGTAGCTGGTTTTTTATTTTGCTCACTTATCCTGCTCGCGAAAAATCATGTTTTGAGATTGAGCAAAAGTAATATAATAATAAATAACAATATTAATTACGTATTCATATTATATGTAACTATTTAATACATTTATGTACCTACCTATAAATATAATATTAATTATTTCCGAACTCAACACTCGCTGAATTAAATTATCAAATCATACATTTACATTTATAAGACTAATTTTCATTACATAAATTATAATTTGTAAATAAAAATTCATCACATCAATTAATTAATTCATAATTGGTTTTAAATTAAATATTTTAGCGGGTATTTGGCACTAATTGAAAGTAGTTTGGTACGCGCTGCAATTGTAACGATAATGGATCTTGTATTTTCAAAAAGGATATTGTGCATCGTTATCAAACAGACTGTGTTTATCTTACGCATTGTGATATTGAAGTTGGTAAAAATATTATGCTTTTGTTACTTATTTTTAATTATTTTATCTATGAAAAAAGATCTAAGTTGTTAAACATGATCATTTGTTAATTTACCTAACAATAAAATCGAATACATTTCAGTTATATTAAAAATATTTTAGTAGTGCGAACAAATGTTAAATATTATATTAGTAATTCCAGAGTCGGTTCGACTCACCCGACTACCCGTCGATTTCCGAGGGCTCTTTGATATTTTTTAACATTAAGGACCCATCTAAAAGGAAAAATGCATATTTAAACCAATTGAATTGTGAGTGTGACATTTGAAATTCTTTTTGAACAAACGACAACTTTATTTCTAGTTTATTCAACACATTGTGCATAGCATACAAATATGTTCTTATACGCACACAAGTTAAATTTGAACGAGTATTTTTAAAACTAATGTTAGACCTTTCGATATCCTTTATTTTGTCTATTTGTTGAATAAGACATCATTTAACTAATAAACAACGATAATAATAATATACTAGAATATTTCAGCAATAAATTAAAAAAAAACTTCTTATTTAAAAATATTTTATAACTTATTTGATTAATTTTATTTATATTTATTGATTTTTTTTATGTGTAAAAATTGAAAATAAAAGTATGCAAAACATTATTGATTATATATATATATTTAAAACAATTAAAATATAAAATCATTTTAAAGTTGTAAATTAGTTTTTAATTAAAAATAAAATCATTTTTCTGCACTGTAATAAAAGGCAATTAATTTTATGGGCTCGATTAAAATAAATGGCTATTGCCTATTATTATATATTTTACAATCAAATCGATTGACACACAAAAAAAAAAAATAATAATAATAATTTAATACGAATTATTACTTAAATTGAAAAATATAACTCAACAAAATATTAAAACAAATAGCTCGTGTTTATATGACATACAACATTTGAGTTCATATTGCAATTATTACAAACTCTATGATATATATATAGTTTTATGGTATAATAAATATTATATCAAATAATGTGGCAACACATTTTTATCAAATAATTAATAACACATGCATGTTGAGGTTAGGAAAAAAGAGCGTAAAACATATTATTGTAATTCAACATTTCATAAATGACCAACACGTCTCTTCTCGGAAAAGTCGAAACAAAATGTTCCATGGATAAGGATATACGAGCCGACAAGCATACTAGATCATGTTATGAAACACCTTGTGACAGTTAAGTCGTCACCACTACGACCATCACTCTTTGTGATCCGATCTTAAATATGGGAGACACCGATGTAAGAGTTTGAAAAACGGTTTGGGGCAATTGAGATATTCAAAGGAAGATTGTAACACCACTCACTGACTTTTTTATCATTATTTTTGAGTCAGGTTAGGTAATACCGCGTCTTATATTTTATATTTTTGTATTTCAAATTAACATTGAATAAAGATTTTTCTACGCTTAATAGGTAGATACATTACGTTTTCATTCCTGCGTTGATATATGAACCAACGAGTTTGGACATAACAACTTTGATACATATATATGAATATGAGTGTTTAAATATCCATAAATAATAAATTTTGTGATCATTTAAGAGTGATGATATCGCTTAGTACACCTAATTTGAAATAATACTACAAGCACGTGATATATTCTCGCCATCCCAAATGTATCTTCTTCGTTACACATTGTACCATTTGTATGTACCTATATACACATAGGTACAAAATAAGTAATTGTTACAAAGCTAATTTAAATTCTACAGAATCCATTTTAAATAGTTAGTTTTAAAACTATAGTAACTCAATCAATTATCTAATTTATAGACAAGAATACTATTAACTATGTTCTCTTGTCGGTTTTTTTAAATTTCAAAGTTATCAGTTATCAGTAGAGCACGGATTTTTATGCACTAAAAGGTATCGAAGTATGCCATATAATATGCAGTAAAAATCATAAAAATATGCAATAAATATGCAAAAAAAATTTTTTTTTATTTATATACAATTTACAAATTAAACAACTTAAGATAATTAATTACTTAAATAAACTAAGTATATACAAAATTTTTATTTTAATATGTAATATATTTCGAATTTTGTAAAAATATACAGAAATGTACTAATAAAATTTCACCGTTAGATTCAAATTCTCATGACTTGTGAAGATAACTGAAAAAAATCTAAAAAAAATGAAAAATAAAA